ATATCTGAGTGAATATGGTGAGAAAAAAAATATCTGAGTGAAGTGTGGAATATGGTGAGAAAAAAATATATCTGAGTAAAACAAGTGTTGGTGAGAAAAATATATCTGAGTGAAGCAAGTGTGGAATATGGTGAGAAAAATATATCTGAGTGAAGCAAGTGTGGAATATGGTGAGAAAATATATCTGAGTGAAGCAAGTGTGGAATATGGTGAGAAAAATATATCTGAGTGAAGCAAAGTGTGGAATATGGTGAGAAAAATATATCTGAGTGAAAGTGTGGAATATGGTGAGAAAAATATATCTGAGTGAAGCAAGTGTGGAATATGGTGAGAAAATATATCTGAGTGAAGAAATATGGTTTATATCTGAGTGAAGCAAGTGTGGAATATGGTGAGAAAAATATATCTGAGTGAAGCAAGTGTGGAATATGGTGAGAAAAATATATCTGAGTGAAGCAAGTGGTGTGGAATATGGTGAGAAAAATATATCTGAGTGAAGCAAGTGAATATGGTGAAAAATATATCTGAGTGAAGGATGGTGAGAAAAATATATCTGAATATGTGAAGCAAGTGAAGCAAGTGTGGAATATGGTGAGAAAAATATATCTGAGTGAAGCAAGTGTGGAATATGGTGAGAAAATATATCTGAGTGAAGCAAGTGTGGAATATGGTGAGAAAAATATATCTGAGTGAAGCAAGTGTGGAATATGGTGAGAAAAATATATCTGAGTGAAGCAAGTGTGGAATATGGTGAGAAAAATATATCTGAGTGAAGCAAGTGTGGAATATGGTGAGAAAATATATCTGAGTGAAGCAAGTGTGGAATATGGTGAGAAAATATATCTGAGTGAAGCAAGTGTGGAATATGGTGAGAAAAATATATCTGAGTGAAGCAAGTGTGGAATATGGTGAAAAATATATCTGAGTGAAGGAAGCAAGTGTGGAATATGGTGAGAAAAAATATATCTGAGTGAAGCAAGTGTGGAATATGGTGAGAAAAATATATCTGAGTGAAGCAAGTGTGGAATATGGTGAGAAAATATATCTGAGTGAAGCAAGTGTGGAATATGGTGAGAAAAATATATCTGAGTGAAATATGGTGAAAAAAATATATCTGAGTGAAGCAAGTGTGGAATATGGTGAGAAAAATATATCTGAGTGAAGCAAATTGTGGAATATGGTGAGAAAAATATATCTGAGTGAAGCAAGTGTGGAATATGGTGAGAAAAAAATATATCTGAGTGAAGCAAGTGTGGAATATGGTGAGAAAAATATATCTGAGTGAAACAAGTGTGGAATATGGTGAGAAAAATATATCTGAGTGAAGCAAGTGTGGAATATGGTGAGAAAAATATATCTGAGTGAAGCAAGTGTGGAATATGGTGAGAAAAATATATCTGAGTGAAGCAAGTGTGGAATATGGTGAGAAAAATATATCTGAGTGAAGCAAGTGTGGAATATGGTGAGAAAAATATATCTGAGTGAAGCAAGTGGAAATATGGTGAGAAAAATATATCTGAGTGAAGCAAGTGTGGAATATGGTGAGAAAAAATATATCTGAGTGAAGCAAGTGTGGAATATGGTGAGAAAATATATATCTGAAATATGGTGAGAAAAAATATCTGAGTGAAGCAAGTGTGGAATATGGTGAGAAAAATATATCTGAGTGAAGCAAGTGTGGAATATGGTGAGAAAAAATATATCTGAGTGAAGCAAGTGTGGAATATGGTGAGAAAAATATATCTGAGTGAAGCAAGTGTGGAATATGGTGAGAAAAATATATCTGAGTGAAGCAAGTGTGGAATATGGTGAGAAAAATAAATGTAAAACCAATAAGCACCTGAATAAATGAAATGGAGAAATGGTACACCTAAATAAGATATTGCTAATTTATTAGCAGAAGAACTTGAAAATAAATCAACAGAACATTACTCTCCTATATTCCAAAAGTTTAAATCTGAGGCTGAAAAACAACAGCTAAATAATACTTCTGACTATAAAGAAAATTACAATATACCATTTAGCATTAGTGACTTGAAAGAGCCCGTTAGTAATTGCCTTTGACACTGTTACTGGACCAGATAATGTACATTATCAATTTTTGAAACCTCTACCAGAGGACATCCCTTTTAATATTGTTGTACATGTTTAACATCATATGGCATGCACAGGGAACTTTCCTAAACAGGATAAGGATGCTTCGAACCCAAATAATTGTCTTATTTCTCTTACCAGCTGCCTTTGCAAAACAATGGAAAGAATAATGCACAATTAAGATGACTGGAAAAACAACATTGTATCAGAATATCAAAATGGTTTCAAACAGAAGAAGCACCATCAGTCAACTTGTTCACATTGAATCCTTTATCCAAGACATCTTTGTATGAGGATATCGTGTAATATTGGTATATTTTGACCTTGAAAACGCATACAATACAACATGGAATTATAGTATCCGGAAAGGTGTTAACAGTATAGAAACAAAGAGCATTAAAAACTTTGTAACATATGTCTTTAAGGTCCGTATAGGGACTACACTCTCCAAATTCCACAAACAAAAGATATGAGAAGAATTGTCTGTCATCTTATAATTTAAAAAAAAAACGGTAATATTAAAATGGTGAGTGATAAATTTGAGAAAGCTTCGTGGATAAGTTTGCAGTTATTTGATCTTCATATATGTCAAATACAAAGAGACAAACTCAAAACTGTTTGAACAAAATTGCAAAATCAGGGCCAACAAAATTTTCCAATTTTCTAAAACCAAAACTAGGTGTGGATTTTTGTAATAAGTGATCCCTACATCATGATCCTCAACTGTGATTCCAATTGTCAAACCAACCAAATACCTAGGTGCTTATTTTTGTTAAGTTAAACTTTAGAGTTCATATTGATTATTTGAGGTAGAAAATACCTAAAGGCCCTAAATTTATGAACAGTCAAATTAAAGATGGACTGAGGAGCAGACTGAAAAGTAAAGCTTCAGTTATATAGAGCTCTTATTAAGTCAAAACTAGACTATGGATGTATAATTTATAGTTCTGCTAAGGTATCTTATCCAAATAAGCTACTACCTATCCACAATCAAGGACTAAGACTATGGCTGAATACTTCTTGTAGCTCCTCCCCTATACATCATTTATATGTAGAGGCTAACAAACTTCACCTGTTTCTTAGATGGAGAAAATCTCTTCAACATAAAATTAAACTCTAAAATAACCCCAATAACCCAACCCAAGGAATAGTATTAATTCAAATTCTCGCTTTTATGCAAGCAAGCCATTTATAATTATTCCTTTTAGCCTCCATAATAAAGAAGCCATAGCACAAATAATAAAAAAAAAAAAACCCTGTCAATGTATTCAAATACACCACCCTGGATGACCACTGAACCTGAAATAGATCTCACATTGAGAGAATTTTTAAAAAAAAAAACTGACACATGAAAGTAAATACCAAAATATATGGTGACAAATGCCATTGCTATAGAGTAATTTATGCAGATGAATCAAATGGTCCCAAATAAAACAAACTGCAGCTGTTTGTGATGTTTACAGACCTCCTATCCTCTCTGGTTACCCTAAAAGAAAAAAAAAAAATTAACCACCCTTACATTGCAGACATGCTGGAGATTTATAACAATCTGATGAAATTTTAAAAATCCATTGTTTTAACATGGATACAAGGTCATGTTGGCCAAATGGTAATGAGAAAGTAGCTGAACTAGTAAAACAAAACAAAAAAAAAAAAAAAAAAAAACCCTCTTACATGAAAATAACTAATATAAAAATTCCCTATATAGATTTAAACAAAAAAAAAAAAAATTAACAACTGTATAAAAAACAAAACAAATGGCAAGCAATATGGGATACATTCCTCAAAAAACAAGTTTTATAAAAACCAACCAAACATCAAACAGGAAAAGACAAAACTACTAAAAGGGGTGAAGTTCATATTGGAAATACAAAACAAACTCGTGTACACCTAAGAGCTGAAGATGTACCTCAATGCATCCATTGTAATCATAAATTGACAGTTAAGCACATTCTTATTGAATGTAAAAGCTATCAGCTTAAACATAGTAAATGCTATGCCATAAATATGGAAACCTTGTTTAAAGATGTCCCACTTGACCATATAATATGGGTTCTAAAAGAAATAAGGATTTTTAAATTCATTTAAAAATTGCTTATGGTTTGGACTGATTTAAACAGTCTGAATTGACAGATTAAATAATCTATTTAAAATGAATTGTAGCTACCAAACTGAGCACCCCCTGCCCTCCAAAAAAACTATTGGACAAAAGAAAAGATCTATATGTAATACATGTACTCAACTGACTGGCATAAAATGACCAATCAGGTTTGACACACTGTTAAAACAAAATTGAACCAAACCAATTTTGAATTTTGTCTGTTTATGGACTTTTCAAAATAATTGATGCTGAAAATTGCTGTGGTTATTTCTTACATTTACCATTTTATTTCGGTCACAATTGTTTCTAAAACAATGCAGTATGAATTAAATAAAAAGTTTTTATTGGAATAATTTTTGAAATATTGTCAATATGGTTTATTTGTTAACAAAATTGCAGTTTTCCTCTTTTAAAGTTCAAGGGGAATAACTCTACATTTTATATATTTCCAAATTTAATCTAATAAAAACAATCTTATTGAATTTTTGCTAGAAAAGAAGAAAAAATCTATCAATGAAAATTTTTATGCATTAAAGATATAATAAAAACTCAAAGATACATTAATAATTAATGATCATGTTCAATTGATTCACTTATTAAGAATGATTATTTTTCAATGACATGACAGTTATAATACAATCATCAGAATTTTTGTAACAGGGACAGGCTTTTTTGTAACAATTATTTTCTCATGAATCGGACTTTTAGGAATGTTTTTCTTTTCACAAAACTGAAATATTCACACTAACTAGAAATAGTCATTGTTTGCAATAAATTTGAATTTTGTTTGACTCTCTCTTTCCAGGTCGGGGTGTGAGATTGTATTACATTGGAGGGGAGGTGTTTGCTGAGTGTCTCAGTGAAAGTGCAGTCTTTGTTCAAAGTCCAAACTGTAACCAACGCTATGGTTGGCATCCAGCCACGGTGTGTAAGATTCCTCCAGGTAATTCTACTCAAATTTTACAATTCAGCTTTTTCAATTTGGCCACTTTAAAATTCTATGAAAAGGCCAAATGAATTGTTTCTAGATCTTAATCCTCATCATTATTTATTCAGCTATTGCATTTTGTGAGGCTTTGGTCACCACTTCACCTGCTGTAATTGTGGTTCATGGTGATATTCAAAATAGTGCTATGGCTTGCTGATTCCTTTTGCATTGAGGATGGTTGCAGTTACCCTTGTCTTAGATGTTCTTTCACACACTGGTAAAGCTGTTGATATCTGAGGCACAACTTCTACATCCAGGCTGGCAACTGGATGATAGCAGCTTGGCACAGATGGGTTGGAGAGAGGTGTTGTGGAAGTGCAAAATGAAGAAGCCATCATAATCTCAAATTCTTTATTACATGTCTCTTGAAATAACCAATTTATGGACATATCACATTGAAACACCAGTTATTGTGTGATCACCAGAGTTAAGCAACATTGAGTTTGGTCAGATGAGTGACCACTTGGAAATCCCAGATGATGTAACCTTGGATGTTCAAGTCGGGTGTGATGGATAACGGTTCGGAATTAGAAATTGGAGAGAGCTGAATATGATTTCCAGTTGAGTTCATTCCGTTCTTACATGAAAATATTCTTGGGGAAAAGCATTAGTCGATCTCTATTCCCTCTAGCTATGGGTTAAATAGCAGGACAGTTTGGGTCCTATCAGTGGTGACCCATAGGTCATCAATGTCTGTCAGGCTCATTACAATCTTTAACAAAATATATTATTATATTGGTATAACTTAGATGCTAAAATGATTCCTTTACTCTAACTAAAATCATTTTTAAAAATCTCTGTGCATGAAAGTAAAAAAACACATTTTAGTATTATTAATATTAATTGTAATAATTCTATAAAAATAAACATTTACTTTAAAAAAAATTTCCAGTCATGTAAGTAAAAAAGAGTGCAAACAAAGTCTTTGATATGTTTGTCTGTTTATTGCTCCTTTCCATTTTTTTATGCTTTTATAGCCTGGCTATCAAGTCACTGATGATAGGAATAGTTAACTGATATCATATTTCTTTAACACTACCCTAGTCACACCCCTCACCCCAACCCTCCAGTTGACAAGTTAAGGCTACCACTTTCTTTGATTTTCGCTGACTTTAAGTTGGTCTAAATTTAATTTGCCCTTTTTCAATTGATATATTCAGATTAAAAAATCTTATACTGTATGGAATAAATTATTTAAAATGGACATTTGAAAACAACAAATTGAAGTAAAAGCTGTTCTTTTGAAAAACAGGGCATACAAGTCATTAGAGATTTTTAAAAGATTATTTATAAAATTAATAGACAATGTATTTCTTGCTTTAAGTATGATACAGCTCAGATCTATGCAGCCTGACTAGCCATGTTAATTTTATTTCATTCTTTTTTTTACTTTTTTCTTTCTTTTTTTTTATGGTGAACAATATAAGCAAAATGTATTTCGGTTAATATTTTGAGGCACAAAATTAAAACAATTAATTTGGGATCCAGCTAAAGTCAAGAATGAAAACGGCAACACTACAAAAGATTTTTGTTGCTTTGAAATAGATATATTTGAATGTTGACTCACTCTGGCAAAGCCAGACCTCCAGAGTCAACACTTAGTCCTATAGCATTGGTTGACCACAGTCTACTGCATGAAATTTTCTGCCAAAAGAGACATGATTGACCAAGTATCCATCATTCATAGCATCTAAGGAAAGGAACTGTAATGGCCAATCACAAAAGAAATAAAGAAAGGCACTTTTCAAATTTATACAGTAACAAAAAAGTCAATTTAAATGACCAAACTGCAAATATGTTAAACATTGCAAACTTCTTATCATTAGCAGGATTTCATTTGCTTGGATATTTTTTTTTTTTTTTTTTTTTTTTTTTTTTTTCCATTTTCTTCTTCTTTTTTCTTTTTCTTCTTCTTCCTTTTTCTTTTTCTTCTTCCTTTTTCTTTTTCTTCTTCCTTTTTCTTTTTCTTCTTCCTTTTTCTTTTCTTCTTTTTTTTTTTCTTTTCTTTTTTTTTCTTTTCTTTCTCTTTTCTTTTCTTTTTCTTTTCTTTCTTTTTCTTTTCTTTTCTTTTTTTCTTTCTCTTTCTTTTTCTTTTTCTTTTTCTTTCTTTTTCTTTTTTTCTTTTCTTTTTCTTTTTCTTTCTCTTTTCTTTTCTTCTTTCTCTTTTCTTTTCTTTTTCTTTTCTTTCTTTTTCTTTTCTTTCTCTTTTCTTTTTCTTTTCTTTTTTTTTTTCTTTCTCTTTTCTTTCTCTTTTCTTTCTTTTCTTTCTTTTTCTTTTCTTTTTCTTTTCTTTCTCTTTTCTTTTCTTTCTTTTCTTTTTTCTTTTCTTTTCTTTCTCTTTTCTTTTCTTTTCTTTTCTTTTCTTTTTCTTTTCTTTCTCTTTTCCTTTCTTTCTTTCTTTTCTTTTCTTTCTCTTTTCTTTTCTCTTTCTTTTCTTTCTCTTTTCTTTCTTTTTCTTTTTTCCTTTCTTTTCTCTTTTCTTTCTTTCTCTTTTCTTTTTCTTTTTCTTTTTTTTTTCTTTTTCTCTTTTCTTTCCCTTTTTCTTCTTGTTTTGTTTAAACAAGATACAAAACTATAAAATAATTAACGCATAAACACTCACACAAATGCAACCTAGAAGAGGACACTTATTTTGTTTCAATCTATGGCATAAGGCATTATATAGGAAATGATGATATATTGCAACTACTAAACAGTGGGTGCCTCCAAAGAATAAAACATTTTGTCTCGTTTTGGATTTGACATTTGAGGGGTTTTTTTGGGGTTTTTTTTGTTGGATTAACACTCACTGATGTTTTCAATAGCAATTAATGAGGCTTCTTTTAATTTTTGTAGGATGTAATTTGAAAATTTTCAACAATCAAGAGTTTGCTGCAATGCTGGGTCAGTCTGTTAATCAAGGATTTGAGTCTGTCTATCAGCTGACCAGGATGTGCACTATACGAATGAGTTTTGTTAAGGGATGGGGTGCCGAATACAGGTGAGTGTATATTGCTATTTTAGTATCTTCTCGTCTCTAAATAATTGCAGCAGCAAAAAAATAAAGCTTTTCTCAATAAACAATAAAAAAATTTTTTTTTTAAATATGTATCCTGAGATTTCAAGAAAAAGATGGACAACTTTTCCTATTTTATAGGATTTTATCATTTTGACAAAATCTTTCTTGTTTCCATCTGAAGACTTCTACAAGCTTCATAGTTAAGTTTTTAAAAATCTCCCAACTAATTTTGCCTGCCAGTTTATGTTGATTTATATATTTGTTATAAATTGCTATTATGAATATAAATTTAATTTCATATTATTAAGCACTTGAAGTTCTATCAATATGTAACATAAATATTTATTGGCATCGAAAGGTTTTATTTGCTGAATGATGGCAAAATATGTCTGCAATTAGGATAAAAATTGGTTTTTTCTCTGTTGCACAGATGTAAACAAAGGGCAGTTGTTTGTATTAGATGGTTACAATTTCAAAGTCTCAACTTAATAACAGAGTTGTGAGTTTGAAGCTTCAACATTAGTCAAAAAAAAGAAAGCATTTAATAACTTCAGAGCTTGTAAAACAAAAAAATTAAACTGGAAATTTCAAAGACGATCAGCAGAAAGTGAAGAACTGCTGAAGATCCTGAATAAGCCTAACCCTAAAACTGAGAAGGGCAGGTTTTGAGGATTTTTTTATTTCACCAATCCTATGTGCCCCAGAAAATGTGAAATTTTTAGGTATTGTGATTGTAAGGAAATGTGAAAAGAAGCCCAAAATTTTGGTTCCTAAAACAGGTGGGGAATTGAAAATTTGGAAAGGAAATTTTCAATTTGCTGAGCAGTAATTTACTAGCAACAAAATTTGGATTGCTATTCTGGATGCTGTACAGTTTGTCTTTCATATGAAGAAATAAAATGAAAATATGACAATCAATGCGTGAACAATTGAATCATTGCAATAACTCCCTGACCCCATATCAACTGTGTTCAACAAAATATTCTATAATGCTTCCTTTTCATTCAAATCACACTGAAAATATTGGTTCTCATTGGGTCACCAAAGTTAAGCAATGTTGAGCCTAGTCAATATTTGATGGGGGACTACTTGGGAACATCAGGTACTGTAAACAACCTCCTACAATCTCAAATATGTTTTGGCTTTAAATGGCTCACATAGGGTTAAGCTATAAAAAGCAAAAACAAATCAATCAAAATTCTGTCTGCTTAACATTTGGCATCTTTCTGATTTAAAGAATTTGCATCCAAATGCCTTTTGCAGTTTTCCAGAGAATTTGTTTAAACATTAAGTTGTGTAAAAACTGGAATAAATAGTAATCGTCACTTGAAATGTGTTTGATGAATGTTGCAAACAAGTGAAAACTTCCTGAGCTGAATTGGTTGTTACCTGCTTATCAACAGAATCAATGCTTTAAAAATTATTTTCATCTGATATTAAACTTTCTGTTAACTAATTCTAGAGGCTTACCTCATCAAATGCTATTTTCAATTGATCAGGACTTGTTCAAATCAATTATCATGTTCTAAATAACTATATATAGTAACAGACTTCTTTCCAATTCTAACCATTTAGATAGCATCAACTTTGGGTTTTGCTTGTACTATGATTCTTTTGCTTTCTGTGTAACACATGAAAATGTAATCCATAATTAAAAAGATTCTCAGCACTTGATTTGATTGTCTCATATGTTTTCTCAACTTCATTTGCCTTCCTGTTTTGATCTCTGAAAAGCTTATGGCCCATCAATCAATAAACAAGAAAAGAGAAAAGTTCTGTACTCTTTCAATAAACTGCAGGAATCTTTTGGAATTCAAGTTGTTTTGACTTTCTTAGAAGAAAAGTAATACCATGTGCTCAGTTTTATTTTGTCTTCAATGTTAAATGCCATAAACCAAATTTTCAATTTAATTCTTTACTTCTTTTTTTTATTGTGCTCTGATATACCAGAGTAGCTGTCATTGCAATCAAAGTGATTCTTTTGAATTAAATTTGTTCAAATTTACTGACATTTTGAGATTACCCAAAACACTTTCATTTGAGATTAGCAATGTAACTACGACAGTCAACTTTAAAGGGAATTTCATTGCAGAACCAACCAACTTAACAATCAGTTGGTTTTAAAGTTTACAGTTTCTAGATACAACCTGACCTTATCAAGAAAACACTTTAATTTACTTTGCTTGCATCTTCAATCTTCTGAACACAATTTTTTTATTTTCTATTTTATCCAAACATTTGGCTTGTCAAGCTGCTGCAGAAAAATACATCTCTTCATAAAAAAAAGCCACATTTTATTTGTTCATTTGCTCTGAAAAGAAAAAAAAAACTTAAAATAAAATCTGGTCTATTTTTAAAATGAGAATGAAAACATTTACAGAATGAATTCATATAAAATTGCGAGAAAAATTTCTCCCTGACTTTTCTGGACATGATTTTTAATGTAAGCTTTTTATTTTTTTTTGTTTTAGGCGGCAAACAGTGACAAGTACCCCATGTTGGATAGAGATCCACCTGAACGGTCCATTGCAGTGGTTAGACAGAGTGCTTACTCAGATGGGCTCTCCAGGACTACCTTGTTCTAGCATGTCCTAGACTGCTGCTGCTACTGCTGCTGGCCTGAAAGGACACTGCACAAAATGTGTGGCCGCATCCCTAGACAGTGCAAATTTTTTTAACCTCTTTTTTTTTTTTTTTTTTTTTTTTTTTTCAATACCTCCTATTACTATTTTGAGGATCATTTTGGCAACAACACCAGCATCATCAATGTATTCATCATTATTAGCAGCAGCAGCAGCAACAGCAACATTATTTCTAAGTAGCAGCTCATATCTCTTAATGCCACCACCACCACAATTTTAATTTTCTTTCTCTCTCTCTCTCTTCAGTACAACAAATACAACAACTACTTAAATTCCTCCTGAAGCGTGTGTGTGTGCGTGTGTCCAAGCAGCAACAACTGCCACTGTTTGCACTCTATTGCTGCTGTGTCCACACAGTAGAGAGAGACGGGGTTTGTCTCTGACCAGCACGATGGTGCTTGCTGCTGCTGCTGCTGATGCTGCTGCTCCTCTTCCTCTCACCCACCCGCCTCTACTGTCTGTGCACTCATAGTGCCATGACTGCTCTGACAGAACAATACCTCAGTCCCAAGTTGTACCATAGATGGCGTCCTTTAAAATTATTAGCAACAACAAAAAAAAAATTCAAGACTGGACTTTGACTGACTTGAACTTTTCAGCCACAAATTTTATGAAATGACCTCTTCTAGAAATAACCTGAAAATAAGTTTGGTTTTTTGACTCCTCCATTTATTTTTTTGTTTTTCATTTCAAATTCTTTGTTTTATTATCTGTTATTTGTCGAATTGACATAAAAAGGCCCAATTTCTTTTTAAAAAAAAAAAAAAAAAAAAAAATTTGTAAAACAAAAAATTCTTTCCTCAACAGAAATCTTTCCCATTTCCTCCTTTAAAAACCAACTTATTAGTCTCATAAAAAAAAGGAAAAAATTAGCTTTTGTTGGTTAAATTTTCTTGGATAAAAAAAACAAAAACAATAAAACAGGCAGGAAGGCTTCTGCTATTTTAGTCACTCTTGAGGACAAAAAAAAAAAAAAACAAGCAGGAGATGAAGTTATCTTTGTCTTGTAGGATATATATATATATATATATATATATATATATATATATATATATATATACACACACACACATTTAAAAAATGAATATCTTGTTTTCAGGTTATTTTTGAGTGCATGTAAAGTGGAGTTTTAACAGTTGCCAACCTGTTTAGTCGGAGAGGCTTTGTGATGTGCCATGATATCTTTTGTCAGCCTGGGTTCATTAAAGAATGTGTGATCGAAGAACAAAGGAAATGGATGGTAACACATGGCAATGAAGATAACAAAGTAGGGGGCGGGGCAGAGGGGGAGTGTCATCTCTCTATACAACATTGCAATCTACCTTCTTACCTAGACAATATTCATCTAAAAGTGCTACTAACATTTGATTTTGGTTTATCTATTTCTCTTAGCTGAGTGAGACTTCAACAGGTGCCAATTGGCCCTTTCAAATCTGACCTTTCTTAATTCAGATGACCTTAATTCAGATGACCCCTATCAGTTTGTAATTATTTTTTCCTTTCTGTAGAACAAATTTTTATTTGTTTTTATTTATTTACATTTTTTTTTATTTTTTATTTTTTTGTTCAAGAACAAACATGATATTTTTTAAATTCAATTTTATAAGTTTATGATTTTACATACACAAAATTTGTTTCTGTTCTCCTTTTTTCTTTTTTTTCTTTTTTTTTTCCCTCTCTCTCTCTCTCTCTCTCTCTTCACTTTTGTATACAAAATTGTCTTCCCAGTTTGTAGACTTTGGAAATTCATCACAGGGAAATATCTGCATACTTTTTGTTACAGTTTCTAGAATGTCATTTGTTGTGTGTATGAGAGGTGATGCAGATGTTTTTATGAATAAAGTTCTAATGTTGGTTAGGGTGTCCGGGTGGGGGGGTGTTAGTGTCTAAGGCATTAGGTGCATATAAAACACACTTGCCTTTTATGCCAAACCTAATAATAATAATGAAATCACTGTTATTACAAAGATCTGATGCTCTTAAAAGAAGCCATCACTGTCAACATTATCAACATTAATATTTTTTATTACTCCAACCATTGATTATGGTTACTACTACCACTACTGGTGATGCGGTTGTTGTCGGGTCTTCTGATAAAGATGTTGGTTCTTGAAACAGCCATGTTAATAAACATGGTTGGTTGGAGTTTTGATCCTGAGAGCAGGCATCTGGATTTTGGGCAAGCCTTTCAACCTCTCTGCCCACTATGATCAGTTGTGTGTTCATAAACTCCAAGATAATCCGAATGGTTTAAATATCCTAATTATTAGTTTTAAAAAAACAAAAACAAAAAAAAACAAATCTTGTTTTGGTAAATGCTTTTGCTTTCACAGACATTTTATCTGAATTTCTTTGGAAGAAAATAGCAAAATTGTACAAAACATAAAAAAATATTTCATTTGAAAGCAAAGGAAAATGTTAAATAAGTTTTCTATAAACAATTTCCTTTATTTTTTTTTTTTTTCTTCCTTTTTTTTCTCTCTCTCTCTCCCCCCCATGGTTCTTAGCAATCAACCTTTTTTTTCTCTTAACTCTTTCTGTATAAATCTGTTCCTTCATAAACTTGCAATAAAAGCAGTTTTAAAATTTTCTCATTGAAAAATCAACCCCACTTGCTTTTATTTTTCAAATGAAAACCTGTTTTAATTCGCAATAAAATAAAACATTTGGGTCAGCCTAAATTCATTACCTAATTCATTATTGATCCAATTTATAGCAAGAATAGATTGTGTTTTCATTTTTTAAAATATTTTGAATGATTTTTGTAAAACGGAGGGGAATTATTTCATCGAATTTTTTTGATTTAGAACATGAAAATTGACAAAATTCTTGTAAAACTGAAAAAGAGAATATTTTCTCTCTGCTGACTTTAGTTGAAAGCAAGACGTGAAATTCAGCTTTGCACAGATGAAAGTTTAGAAAAGAGTCTATAAAGGAAGTTTAGTTGCATCAATTTCAAACTGACTGGACAAGGTTTTCCGCCAGTCATAAAATGAATAAAAATTATGTCAAACCAGCAGACAAGCATTGAGATAAAGAAAAAGAAGGTTGAATATCATTTCAAACTCAGTAAGAATTTTTCTTTCTTTTTTTTTTTTTCTTTTTTTTCTAGATCAGAGTTGACATCAGAACTGAGATTAATGTTTGTCTCTCATATGAACGATAGAAATCAAAATGTTCTTTAATAATGTACTCCATTTTTTTTGACTGGCAAAGAAAGTTTCATTTGTTCGACATGTATAAAAGTTGTAATTGTTTTAAATTTCTAAGATATTTAGGCTTTGCAAATACAAATTTTTCAAGTCTCTTTGGGATTTTTTTTGTGGGGGGGTGGGAAAAAATCTAAAACAAATACAGAATAGTTTTTTCTTTTTTTTCTTTTTTTATAAAAAAAAAACAAAACAAAACCCTCGCTGTGGAATGGTGTGGACATTAATTAAAAAAAGAATCAAATGTGACAGTAAAAAAAAAAAAAATATATATATACAGCAAATTCTCAGGATCTTTTTCATAAAAACCTTTTTTTAAAAAGGAAGCCCAAACTGTTTTGCTCAAAGTCGTTATGCCATTTTTTGTACAAGAGTTTTCTTTTAATATAAATATATATACATACATATATATATATATATTTTTAAATGTCTGCTGCATCTGACTTGATAACAGAAATAGAAACCATTACTTAGGATGTTGTAGTCAAGATGCAATCAATGCAGGGAATTGGTGACTGCTGTCAATTAGACTTAATTGGGTTTATAAGGACTGATTTTAGAGCTCAGGTAATATTTCCACTTATCACTGTTATGGATCTTTTTCTTTTTTTTTCTTTTTTCCTTTTATTCCTGCTTCCTTGCCGTTTTTCATAGGAAGTCTCCCCATCAGATGAGACCCCCCTCCCCACCCTCTCTCTCCCTCCCCACTCATTTTACAATCTGTGTATCCTTTGGATTTTGTTTCTGCTGCTGTTGTCTTTAAAAACCAAACATAAGCAGAAAATGTCAATAGTTGATAATAAAAATTCTATGTCAAATGTACATATGTCATGTGGGTCAAATACTTTCATTTTAGGCTCAAATCTTGTTGAATTCATTCATTATTATTGTTATTATTTCAGCAGTATTTTACCTTTTCTTTTTTTCTTCTTTCTCCACATAATCTTCATAAAAGACATGAATTTGAAGTTTACCTGCAAAAACAAAAAAAAAAAAATTGAAATACTTTGGCTTCTTTATGTCAACTGAGATTCTGAGTTGAAGTAATTGTCACCATTTCTTGTTTTCTTCAAACTGATCTCCTCACATGTTGAACACTCTTTTGGTTGGTCAGCTCTCTGACCTTCCTTGATTTTTCATTCTCTACTTCATCACTGACTTCAATGGTAGATTAATGTAGCACCTGTACAGTGAACAGGTATCGATCGGCTGGAGATAAATATTATCTATATTTCTGGATTGGAGATACCACCAGCCAAAAACATAATCAATGAACCATTGTCTCACTTCTTTTCTTTTTTTTCTTCCACTCTAGCTGCATTCAATCTACCAGTTAAAATGAATCAAGCTGAAGAATAGATGAGAAGCAGTCACAGAAACTACTTCTAGTATTACTTACTGCTGATTAATGTCATCTGCAAATTGCACTGAAGATTTTTCTCAGCCTTTTCAGTTGCAAACTTAAAAATCCCCTTATGAGTTGTCTCCCTTGCATTTTTTTTTTCTTTTTTTCCTTCAGTCAAGGCGATCTTTATATCAAGGCCTGGCAACCATGCGACTGGAGTAAGAGAACTAATTTACTACTAAATAACAATTCCTGAGGACATTTTTAGCAAGGATCTTGTTAGTAATGTCCAGTAATTAGTTAATTAGCAAGTGTGTGTATATATATATATATATATATATATATATATATATATAAGAAAGCATCTTAGAATTATTGATTTATTTCTG